AAAAAAAAAAAAAAGATAATAGTAATAGTTTTCATCTGTGTCATAATTTGTAATCTATTAAGTCTTTTAACATTCATAACACTCTATAAAGTAAACACAAAAGACAATTAAATTTCTATCTTCTTAAGTTGGAAGATAGTTTATGTTTTCTTAAGATATAAATTAAACAAGGAAACAGAGGTTCAGGGGTTCAGAGGTTTAAGGAGTTTACTTGAGATCACATTGAGAGTAAGAATAGGGCCAGGGCTCAAACCTGATTTTTTATGATCGTAACTCTATGTGTTTTTTCCTCCTAAACTATGTTGCCTTTTTCTGAAAATGAAAGCAGATATTTGTCAATGCACTTTGAAAACTTGTAAAATCATATACAAATGTGCCTCAAGACCCTTTTAAAAAATTACTCTAAATAACAAATGGGTTTTCAATGGCTCATTGCATGGGTTATAACCAGTGCTCGATTAAGCCCACTGAACCTTTCTCCGTGCTGTGGTGTTAACATCCATCTTCCAAATGCAGGGCTATCTAGAATCTTGCCAAAAATTGCCATTTTAGGGCGCCTGGGTGGCTCAGTCGTTAAGCGTCTGCCTTCGGCTCAGGTCATGATCCCAGGATCCTGGGATCGAGTCCCACATCGGGCTCCCTGCTCGGCGGGAAGCCTGCTTCTCCCTCCCCCACTCCCCCTGCTTATGTTCCCTCTCTCGCTGTGTCTCTCTCTGTCAAATAAATAAATAAAATCTTTAAAAAAAAAAAATTACCATTTTAAACATGCGATGTCCTTCAGTTTACATTTGCAGATTTCAGTGAAATAGCATCTTCCAATGAAGTCCACAGCACTGGAGAGGGAAATGTGCAGAAATAGTCAAGGTACTTTTAAAAAAATGTTGTAAAAAGCACATATAATGTAAAATCTACTAACTTAACCATTTTGTAAGTGTACGGTTCTGAAGTGTTGTGTATTCACATTGTTGTGCAATGAATCTCCAGTTCATTTTCATATTGCAAAACTGAAACTCTATACCCATTAAACAACTCCCCATTTCCCTCAGCCCTCAGCAACCACCATCTACTTTCTGTTTCTATGAATCTGACTATTTTATACAGCACATGTAAGTGAAAGCACATAGTATTTGTCTTTTAGTGACTGGCTGATTTCATTTAGTATAATGTTCTCAACGTCCATCCATGCTGTAGCATTCAGCAGGATAGCCTTCCTTTTTAAGGCTGAATAATATTATATTGTATGCATATACCACATTTTGTTTATTCATTCATCTGCTGATGAACAATTAACATTTGTGTTGTTTCCATCTCTTGGTTATTGTGAATTATACTGCTGAGAACATGTGTGTGCAAATATATCTTTTAAATCCTGCATTGAATTCTTTTGGATATATATAACTAAATATAAATACACACTCAGATATATACACACACCCAGAACTGGGATTCCTGGATCATATGGTAATTCTATTTTCAATTCTTAGGAACTTCCATGTTATTTTCCATAGCAGCAGAACCATTCTATGTTCCTACCAATAATGCACAAGGGTTCCAGTTTTTTCATATCCTTGCCATTAAGTGTACTTTTGGTTGTGATTTAGCGTGAATTTTGTAGGCCCAAAAAGGCTGAAAGAGACTCTAAAGTAGAACAATAATATATTTTGTAAGAGTCAGTTAATACTTGTGAGCTTACCATAAATGCAACAAAACTTCCATTTAAAAAATCTTAATGTGTTCATTAATTCATACACATCTTAGCACGTTAATCCATCACTGTTATAACCCCTTCAAGGAAGAATAGACAATAGAAAAAAAACCTGGTTCTATTCTAGACTCTGGTCTAACCTCTAACAATTCACCTGTCTGAGCCCTCATCTTATTGTTTACTACATCTATTGCAAAGGTGAATGGGTTAATATTTTAAATTTGTGTGCATGTGTGTTATCTGTGGATGCGCTACTAAAAAGAGAAAGCCCTAGACAACAAATCATAGAACCTGTGCAATAGTATGTTCTAGATTTATTGTCTAGTGCTTTTTCTTTTTGCAACAGACACACACACACACACACAGGTACTCAAAATAGTAACCCAAATATCTTTGCAGTAAGTGAGAGCTGTTGGCTTTGCCATTAGGCATGACTACACTTAAACCACTTCAGAAAAGATTTCAAGAAAGGAACAGTTCACAGTTTGGAGTAGATTTTTAAAATGTTCAAGTTTCTATCATTGCAAAGTTCATTTTAAAGTGTTATGATTATTGGCCTGCTTCCTCTGGCTCTGTGTCCAAAGACTAGCTGTTCACCCATATTTTATCTCTTTCACTTTAATGATAAAGACCCAAATTTTGAGAATTATGTAAGGGCATATATATGCTGACCATGGAAAGAGAAAGTACCTTTTAGAGCCAGAAAAGGTGTATTTGAGTCAAATAAAATGGCTATTCTTCCAAATCGGTAGCAAATTCTTAAGGACTCTACCTACAAAAGTGGGTAGTGTCTGAAAACAGAATTTAAGAGGATTTAATTACGCAAACAAATGCATGGTATCTGAAATAGTGGACAAGGATTGTTTCGGGGCTAAGTCTCCATTTCATCGCATACAAATCTATTTCTCGCTCATTAGGAGAGAGATTTTTGAGAAAAGAACACCAACTTACATGGACAATGGATCTGATTCAGCCTGCCAATCGCAAATAATGGCAGAAAATTATGAATATTTTTTGGCCTAAAACTTCATGGATAAAAATGAAAAATTTAGTGGCCTCTTTTCTCTAACAGTACAGAAAATCTTGCCTGACTTTACCTAGAGTCTAGGGTCTAGGTCATGGACTTGATCCAGTGAGATGGTTGGGCAGGGCACAGCGCCAGGGATTCAACTTCAGGGATGTGGTCACATGACTATAACTGAACTAGAAGCATTACATCAGGACTGACCACTCTGGCTAAACCACAGACTTTGTCCAGACAGTCTGCCCACTTAGTTATAATCCAAGGGGATCATCAGACTGTTGGGAGTGGCTGGAACACCAAAATGATAACCTCCTTGTTGACTCCCAGAGGTCCAAAGCATACACTTTTCCCATTTAAAGGCTACCGTTGCCCGCCACTAGCATGACTTACTTGGTAGGAGGGATGTCTGTAGAGAAAAGGTCTATTTCAGTATCAGCCAGCAAAACAGCCTTCATTCCCCTAGAGCTGAGCACTTGTTTACAGAATTTGCAACACAGGATGGACACGCACCGGTCCTTGAAACTACAAGTGCTGGTAGACATGGCGTCCCGGGAAGGATGCGGTGTAGGATTTTGAAAGAGGAGACTTTCCTAGTTTGATTCCCCCAGGTTAAAAATCAAATTGCGAGGTCTAGAGCTTTTCTGAGCCCTAAACTTTAGGGAAGGAAATGAGTTCTTTTCTGTTTTCCCGTGGGAGGGTGAAAGTAATATTTATTGAGGAGGAGCAGGGCGAAGCAGCATATGTGGCTTTCCTTTTAATTTTCGGGGAAGGGAGTGGGGTTTGAAGTTGCGGGGGCGGCGAGCTGCAAGGGGCCTGCGGAACTTCTCTACAGTAGGCCCCCCAGCCTCGCGTCTAAAAAGGCTCCTCTACTCTTCAGCCCCCGCCCCTTTAGCAATTCCCTAAACTTTCTCCAGCAGTGTCTTTCCTGGAAAGCTCTCCTCCTAAGCCCCTCCCTCCGAGCGCTCCAATTCCTCCCCCTCCTCCCCCGGATCGCCGGCCAAGCGTCCCTACCCACGCCTCGTCTTTGGAAATCTTTCTCCTCTTCCCAGGATCCAGAAATCCCCTTGGCTTTTCCCACCCGGACGAACCCCGGTTCTCTTCAGTCCTCCCGGGACCCTCCCCCGCTCTGCTCGCTCGCGAGCCCCCGCTTCACTTCTCTCCTGGCAGCCCCCAGCCCTCAGCGTGCTGACTGGCTCTCGCGCCGTTTCTCTCGGTCCCCCGTCCCTCAGCTCTCCCTCGTGCCCCCCGCCGTCCCCTTAGGTCTCCCTCCGAGCGGCCGCTCCGGAGCGCGCGGTGGGGTTGGTAGGACGGGGCAGAGATCGCTTTTGGGGCTCAGTCGGCGCTGGGGGCTCTGTCACCGAACGCGTCGTTTTTTGCTCCCTCTTCCGCTCTCTCTGCCTTTCCAACCGGCTGTCAGTTTGAATTGCCGGCGCCGCGCACCGATTGGGAGAACTAGAGTTCGCCTGCGTCCCGCATTGGAAGGCTCCGGAGCCTTCCCCTGCTGAGATCTTAGTGGCTTGGAGACCCTACGCCCCGCCTCAGTAACGGTGCTGTGATCAGCTCAGCTTTATGGTTGGTCGAGCTTGGCTCCGCCTCCGCTCTCATTGGCCGGCCCCGGGAGTTTTGGGCAAATCCTACTCTCGCCCCAGTGAAAGAGTCAAGGCACGCCCTTCGCACTTCTTATTGGAAGACTTTCTACAGTCCCGAGATCTCTACTCTCTATTGGCTAAAATTCTCCGCAACGCCCCTCCTCTCTACCCTGGTCCAATTGGTCGTGCTTTCCCTCAAGAGTTTGTGTTTGGCTGTTGGTTCCACTTTAACCCCGCCCATTAATTCTACTTTAGGGCTTGGCAACCCGGGGAGGAGCTTACTCTGTGACCACGCCTCGGTGGTGCTAGTCACACCTCCGAGTTTCGCCAGCTCCTCCTTCTCATTCCAGTCCTCTCGGGATCAGCTATTCCTATTGGCTACAGGCCCCATCGGTCGATAGAAAACGGGCGGTGATTGGTAAGGGGGTGGGCTCTGCTTCCCGGCGGGGTCCTGCGGAGTTGGCGGAGGCTCCTCAGGGGACTAGGGGACCGATCTGCGTAGAAGCGGGTGGCGGGGAAGAGGGGAGGAGATCTCAGAGTGGGAAGCGGAGCCGGGGGCCCGAGACCCGTCGCGTCAGAGCCAGGTAAAGGCTCCTTCCCTCTCCCCTTTCCTCTTCCCGGCCGCCGGGCTGGAGCCCTGACTGAACAAACCCCGGCAGGGGCGGGAAGGAGAGGGTGCGGATGCTGCTGGCGGCATCGCCTAGACGTGCCGCCCGGAATCTCTCAGACCCCCTCCCCCCCGACCCTCTCCAAATCTTCTAGTACAGCCCATAATACTTCTCAGGACTGCATCTCTCTCTGCCCTTCACCGCACAGCCTGGGACTCTGCCCTGGGACTCTGCCGCCGCGAAGCCCGCACCCAGCCCCCTCCCCAAGTCCTCTGCACACGGGCAGCCTTGGTCCACTTTTGGGCAACCGTCGCTAGCATCACCCGTAACCATCCGGTATCCTCTTCCCCTGTCTCCAAGCCCTGGCAGACAGCCGGTTACAGCCCAGTACCCAGAAGGATAGTTGTTCCGCACTGCTTCCGGGGCTCTTGCCCTGTCCCAGCCCCCGGCCCGCCTGGAACGGCTCCTTTTACGCACCCCGGTTCCCAGACCGGTAGCGGGTCCCCCAAGTTGCTAACATCCTTACACTTCATGTAACATCGTGGCCCACGGTAGTCTCCTCACCCCCCCCCCCGTACCCTCTCTCCACCTCCCAAGCGTGTGCTGAGGCTCCAGTTATCCCCGGCTCCCGTGCAGCCTCTGGACCCCACCTCACACCCCCCTCCCCGCTTCCTGCCCGCCTGAACCACCACGCCGCCTGGGCTCCCTCTTCCTCCGGGCGCGGGAAGTGGGAGACACCGGCGGGAGCCCCCCCACGCACCCCCCCGCCGCCTCCTGACAAGGAAAGGGTAAGGGGCGACCAAGGAGGGAGGGTAGCCGCTGCGGCACGGTGGGGAGCAAGACGCCCGACTCTGAGCTACCGCTGCTTCCCTCCCGCCTCCCGGGCCTGGGCCGGGGCGGGATTTCCTCCGGCACCTCCTGGTGCGAGGAGTCGGGACTGCCACCCTTCCGACCCCCCCCTCCCCCAGCCTGGGTCTGGGTGCGGTATCAGGGATCTCTGGGCAATGGTGACAAAAAATATCGGGGGTGGCATTTAAGAGTCACTCTCGTCCCTGGCTTGGGGGAGGCGGTGGCTGCCTTCCGTCCCCCGCCCCCGGGTTTTCCCGACTCAGACCCTAGCCTCTAACCCGTTTCCTGCTTCTGTCGACCACATTGTTTTCCTGGATGTGCCCCGTGCCGAGCAGGCTTTTTCCTGCAGGTCTCTCCCCCCACCCCCCCGAAACATTTTGCTGCCAAGAGAAGCTAGTAACCAAAAACAAAACAACTGGGAGGAGGGGCGGGAGGGAAAGAAAAGTTGTGCCCGGGTGGCTTGTCCCTCCCTGGCTTTGATCCCTTTTGATGTCCAGGGAGTTGCCCCGGCCGGGGATCAGGGGCCGCGTCGGAGCCACTGCCGAGAGTGCTCCCTTCAGCTGGCGGCTGCCCAGCGCTGTCGGGGCTCGGAGGCCGCCGAGGTGCCGCAGTCCCCGCCCGGAGCCCCGCGTTCCCGCCGCAGTCCCCACCCGAAGCCCGCGCAGGCGGCTGCTCCGAAGTGTTTTCTTCCAGCCTTAAAACACAATCCGGAGGGAGCTTCCTTCCTCCGCACCTCGCCGCGCCGGGCTCTGTGGGCCGGGTTGGTGTTTGGCCGAGATGAATGGGCCCAGGCCGGGCTTGGAACGACGGCCCCTACCTCACCCCCGCCGCGATTAGGATCTGCGCTGGGGCTGATCGCCCCCTCCCCTTTTCCCTGCATTTACAGGCAAGTGAACCGGAGCAAACGACTTCCGATCCAGTCTGCGCTGCTGCGGCTCCCTTTTGGGATTTGATTTGCAGCATCTTCGAGCCTGTGCAACAAAAAACCGCGAAGCACGCCCAGCCCTCCCCGGCACCCTTTTACGCACCCACTCCCTCCCGGGGACACAGCTGGGCGCGTTCACACCCCCGCACCCCCCACACCATGTTGTGCGGAAGGACTTCCACTCCCTGCCTCTGTCGTTGATGTCAGACCCCAGGCCAGCCTCCGGGCGCTGCAGTTCTCCCGGCTAATGCTGAGGCTGCGGCTCCGGCTCTAGCACAGGAACCAGCCGCCGCCGCGCCCGGCCCCAGCGCCCACCGTCTGCATGTGCCCGCCGTAGCCTTCTGCCCAGCCCGCAGCCCGCGCTCCCCGGAGCGCTGGAGACCACCGCGGGGGGCCCCTTCTGCTCTTGGGAGAAGCAGTCTTGGAGGTATTGATTTCGGTGGTTGAATTTTTCCCGTGGATCTATCAATTCACAATTTGAATTTGGAAGAAAGAAGGAAAACATGACGTCTCCGGCCAAATTCAAAAAGGATAAGGAGATCATAGCAGAGTACGATACTCAGGTCAAAGGTAAGGGCTTTGAAAAATAGCATAATGCATATGCTCTGTGGACCATTGAGGCATGTATTTCCACCCTGATTTGCAGGATGTTCATTTCTTTGGGTGGAGCAGGTGGGGGCAGGCTGAACCCAGAGGTGGTTTCATAGGTGGGTTTGAGCCTCCGAGGGATGGGCTGTGCCAGGGGCCACCAGCTCTGGAAAGGAATTTTCAGAGTGGGCTTTAGGTTTGTTCTGTAGGGCTGGCCCTGATTTTGGCAGTCCTCCCCCCCGCCCCCCGCCCCCGGCTAGATAGGATGGGGGGAGGGGCGGGAGGTTCTTGGAGAGAGAAAAGCGGCAATTTGCCTCTGGGTATCTGGGTCAGGTTTCCTTGAAGGACAGCTGAAATCTGACAGGTGTTTGGGAATTTATTTCTGAGGTTGAAGAGGAGTCCAGATAGAGAAAGGCAACCTTGAGAAGGTATACCATTTGGGGAGCCCTGGAAGAGGTGGGGGTTTTTCCTGATGCACTATATCAAAAGGTGACATTTGCTATGGCATCGGACACAGAAAGTCTGTAGCCACCTTGGGTGCACCTTGTACCTGCCAGGTCTCTGGTTGCCTTGCATTCAATCAGAGATCAGCGAACAGAAAGAATAAGGTCATTTCACACCCTGTCTCCGTCCTCACCTAAACATGAATGGAGTTGGGATGTTAGGGTTGCTGGGTGGTGCTGATTCTGGAGAATGGGAAGACATAATTGTTTAACCCTTCTGTGTTGTCACCCTCTGCTCCACAAGGCGTGCTTTTAAAGGCCCACTTCCCTCTGCAAAAATGTGAAGGGTAAAGCAAAATGTGGACCTAGAGAAACCAGCTGACCTGTCTGCACGTTTAGTTGACTACCTGACTTGGTGCATGAATCAGAGCCTGTTCCCAGACAACCTTTTTTTAACCAGTCGTTCCCATAGGAGGGTTCCCGCCTGTTAAAGAGCCCCAGGATGTGTTTGTGCAAGGCACTGTCCCTTCCTGGGCAGCCACTAGGAAGAGCCATGTGCTCTAGCCCATTGAGACTTCAGCTGGGGAGTGGGAGAGGTGGGTGGCCTTGAATGTTACACCACATGGTTGGAGCTCTGGGTTTTCCTTTGTTTCAGAGTACAGAGGGAGGGGCCCCTCCTTCTTTCCCTGCACCAATGCAAGGAGACCTTTTCCTATCATAGAGGACTTGGGAAGGGCCATGTCTCCCTTCTAATGATCGCCTGGGGTGGGGATAGTGTAGAGCTTGAAATGGGCAGCTGCCTTATCTCTTGGAAGGTTGGAATGCAGTTTGAAGTCCCCATTTTGCCTGTAGGATCTTTTTAATGTCATCAGCTTGGTCAAGGCTGGAGGTGCCCTGAGGGACCTTCTCTCCACTTGGCTGCAAATATTGGTGGGTTTATTACAGAGATGGGGGAGTTGATTGATTGATAGCTTCAGTTGAACAGGGATTGGGAGAGGTGTGGTTGTGAGTTATAATTGAGGTCTTGGCCTCTTGTCACTGTTCATAATCTGGGCCTGTTTTTGTAAACAATAGGCCACTGGCCTCTGTGTCCTGTCCAGATGCACTGTATTCTGCTCCTGGAATCCCCCTTGCCATTTTAACCAGATATGTCACTCTTATTTTTTTACATATCCTATTCTTAACTGTTGCCATAGGGAGTGTTAATAACTTTGACTTTCCCAGATTTCTCTCCAGAAGCACACCATTTGACTAAGGTGCAAAGTGATTTTACATGTTTATTTTTTGGAAGGTTCAGGGCTGATAGGTGTTAATAGAACCTTGTCTGCTGATTCCTATTGGTGAAAGATTTCTCACGAGTGTCTCAAAATTGAACACTTGTGTATTTACAAACATTGCTCATTGAGATGATGTAATGCAGTTGGCTATTTGGGGTTTCTCTTCAACCTTGCCGCAAGCAGGGGACTGTTTTGCTTTGCTCTGATATTTTCACTGACACTCTTCAGGATCATAGAATTTTATAGGTGGCCGAGCATGATGTCTTACTCAGAGAAGGTGCCCGATAAAAAACTGATTTAAATGATTTAGTCCCTCATTTTATAGTGGAGGAGAGTACAGAGAAATTAAGAGGCTTGTCCAAGGTCACACAGCTAGGTGGTGGTAGTTGGAATGAGAAGGAGGTTACCGACTTCCAATTCTTTGCTTTATTCTGTTCCTACTTACCGTGAAACATCATCTGACCAGAGTAGGAAACAAGAAATCGGTAAGAAGCCCAAATCTGTCAATGAATAATAGCAGTAGTAATAATAATAATGGGTTACAGTTTGGGTGCTCATGATGTCCCAGCCTGTCCCAAGTGCTTTATATGAGTTGTCTTGTTGAATTCTCACATCAACCAGGAACGTAGATATTATTTTACCCCGCATTCAGTGCATGAAGAAACAGGCTTAGAGAGGGTGAGAAGCCTTCCCAAGGTCACACAGCCAAACCCTGGCAGCTCGACTCCATTCCCTTATTCGTCAGCCCTTTATTTAGTGCCTTCTAGGGGCTGGCGACAGAGCAGTGGACAAGACAAAGACCCCTCCCTTACGGAGCTTATGTTGTAGAACCGAGGTTCTTCGTGGAAGGGCATCGAGATTGGAGACAAAGGACCCGGGTTCTAGGTTGGCTCTGCTCCCCCACTAGGTAGAAGCCGTCGGTCAGAATTCCGAGTTTCAGGTTTTTACGTGTTACATGGGACTGGTACTGCTGCTGGTCCTCTTTCACAGATGCCAAGATAAAAAGGAAAACTGCCCTTTTGGTCTGGTGGCGAAGAGCACAGGTTTTTGAGTTGAAGGGACCTAGGTTTCAAATCTCAGTTTGGTCACTTGCTCACCTTGCCCCTTGGGCAAATTCCGTGACTTGTCCGAGCCTTAGTTTCCTAACTGGAAAATAGGCAAAATACTGTGCATTTCCTGAGCAGTTGTGAGGAGTCAGTGAGAGCATATATGAAAATCATTTGAAATGGAGTGGTATGTGTGCTCACCCATGGCGCAGTCTGCTCCGCGCTTAGTGGGCCTGGCTTCCTGCTGCATTGAGCTAACCATAAGGCCACAATGCCCATTCACCCCCAAGGCACCAGCTGTTCCATGATGGGGCACAAGTCTCGGAATGAAACTTGAGTTCTAGTTTCCGTTCCTCCAGTAGTGGTGAAAGGTATCTTAAACCCTGTAGACCTCAGTTTCCCTTTCTGTAAAATGAACAGGTAAAGTGTCTAATTGTTGGCAGCTGTTTTGTATTCTCTGACCAGAGTCGTGGGTTTTGCCTGTTTCGGTCAGAGATGGTTTGAGTCCAGTGGACTCGAAATGGACTCTGTGGTACCTTGTCTAACCTGTGGCTTTTGCCTCGCTTGACGCCACCTGCTTGCATGTGCCCTGAAGGGCTTCTGAGGCCCCAGCCCCAGCCCTCGCCCAGCGTGCATTTATGAGGGGCGTGCCTCCTTAGTCCGCCTGCCCTGTAGCCGCCTTCTTCAAAACCATCATTGTTTCTGGTTTGTGGGTGTTCAGATTCCTTTGAAAGTTCATGCCTCTCAATGTCTGACTCGAAAGCAATAATATTCTTAATGCTTTTACATGGCTCTTTCCAATTAATGAAACGCTTTCATATACATGAATCTCTGGAAAGTCGTGACAGCCCTGGTCAGGTTCATGGTCATAACCTGAGGCCTTTTGGCCGGTTTCCTGTGAGCTTCTTTCAAGACTGGAGCAGCACAAGGTGGTAGAGTGCAAGGCCTGGTTACTGGAGGTAATAATCTGGGTGGCTTCACATCACTGCATAGTTTCCTGGCTCGCTGTCGCCCTCTCCTTACTCAGGACCCCCTTTCCTTTACCCTCGCCATACCTTGAGTTTTTCTAGTGCCCCAGAAAGCTTAAGATTGACAGTTAATGCAAATATTCCAGGAGGAATCCTCTGAAACAGAGTGGTACTGTGTGCTGGGCAGTCAAATTTTCTTTCTTGAGAACATTGCGGGTCTTGTCCTTTTTTTTTTTTTTTAAATGTCTTAGAAGGGCGGTATGTATGCAGCACAGAGCTGAGAAGTGAAATTCTGTAATTTCCATCTGGAGCATTTTGATAGAAAAGCCTCAGGCCTTTGCCTGGAACAGTTTAACCCTTTACGACCCTTTCCGAGCAGGAGATGAAATTTAAAACTCCACACATACTGTGTGTGCACACACACTTGGGAATGTGGATTGCTGGTGTTTAAACAAGCTTGTTCCCCTGGGAGGTCTGAGCGGTTCTTCACTCATGCCAACAAAGGTCTTCTCCAAAGCTTCTTTCCTCCCAGCCCCCACTCCCCAAGGGAGCTTTAAATATAATCAGTTTGTGAAAAGCTGCAGTAAAACATCTCCTTGGAATCCCCAAGCAGATGCTATCATCTTCCTGCCAGATGATTGAAGGCTTCTCTTCCCTTGCTCAGGGAAAATAGGACTCTGCAGACAGCTGAACTCCTGGAAGGAAAGGAAGCTCTGGGAAAAACGGAGCGCTCTGGATGTCAGGGTTGGAAGACCGGGAGGAAGGTGGTGGGCAAGGAGCTGGGGATGCCGTGTGCTGTGCAAAGCAGCAGCGGCTAGACTGTGTTTGTGAGGAGCCCTTTTGCAATTTCAGGCGTCCTCTTAGGGCACGGGAACAGAAATATCTTTGGAGAAGCCCATCTGGTGGTTAGGACCACATCGTCATGCACCCGCACAGGTTGAAAGCCAGGACGAGGCCCAATCATTTCTCTGCTGTGAAGTTTACAGAGTCGGATCCAGCCCTGATCCGTAGGGTCCACACCCTTTTAAATCAGCAGGTGCCCAGCTCCTGACTCATATGCTCCCATTGTTCACTCCCGATAAACATGGGCTGCCAGTGGTACCTGTGGAGCCCTTCTTCCAGAAGAGATGTTTTCTTCACGGGAATTGTGCCTACCTTCCACCCCAGGCCTCCGAGGGCTTTGTTAGGAAAGTATTAGGTCACGTGGCAGGGGAAAAAGAAGTCAATATGTAGATCTCTACTGGTAGT